TTTCTTTACAGGCACGCAAATTAAATATTTTTAACTTGTTTATAGGTAAATATACATTTTATATAATTTTAACCAATTTCTTGCTTATGGTTAAATTAACTTCTGAATTTACAAATACATATTCTCTTAAGATATTAAATTTTCTTGTTTATGTCATTCTTGAATTGAATAGAAATCCATACTTGATATTTTTAAAAATTCGTTTATATCAAATTATATTTTCATATATTCGAACATTGGGATGTGAGGAGTTCGGATATAAATGATCATTGAAGGAATAAAGTTAAAAGCACGATATGTTTTAAATTTTTTATCCAAACCGACAAAAAAGCAACATGATTTGAAAATATCTAAAAATTTACCATATCGTAATGGGGCCCACCGTCTTCGTGGGTGCCTTACGGAATTTGTGATATGCAAAAGTTTTGCAAGAGGATCCTGATCGATTGACCTGGGATTTAATTTATCAGCCACACAAGGCGATATTAAAAAACTGCAACAAAGTCAAACTCCATAATTTATACTTTTTTTTTAATTTTATTGAATGAAAGCAAAAAATGTAGGAAATAGCATCAAATTTTAGAATAAGTTTAGACTTGTTAGAATTGGTCACCTTTGGCACGAATTATGGCCTTCAAAAGGCCAATGAAACCGTCACACGCTGCTTAAATGTTGCTCTGCGGTATTTTGGTCCATTCCCGGCGAAACGCTTGCTTGAGGTTTTTGGTATTTTCTTGGGTGGCGTGTGCTGAGTCCTTTTGGAATGTCCAAGGTCTGCGACCGAAATGTTTGCATGCCTAAGGCTTTAATACACCCTCCAGAATATTTTCGCGATAATATTCGGCATTTATTCTGTTGCCACGGTCGATTAATACGGGCAGAGAACGACCATCGGCTATTATGGCGGCCCACACCATCACCATGGCCGGCGCTTGAGTTCCGATGGCCAACTGATCTCTTTGGCAAGTAAACACGATCATTTTGTTTGTTTACAAACTGCTGGACAACGAATATTTTCTCATCGGAGAAACCCAAATTCGACAGTTCACGACTTTCGACCAAGCGAAGTAACTCTTTGGCTCCTTTGAGTCTATTTTCTTTCTGTTGCGGTGTAAGTTCTTGCACTTTTTAGAATTTCAATGGCGTTACCCCGAGCGCATTTTCCAATATTTGCCGAATGGAATATTGCGATGTGTTCAGCTCACGAGCCATTTTTCGGTCATTTCCATCACGAATAACTTTTTTCTGGAAAATTCTCACCAAAATGCTTTTGTACGCCTGTAAGCAATAAAATGAGCTATCACTGGAATAATTTGAGCAGCTGTCGGGCGAGTGGTTTAGAAATGACAGCAGTCTGAAGTTGGTTGCAGTTCTTTCATCTCACCCTGTATATACCTTATGGGATCTATGACGCATATTTAGAGATGTTACAAACAGAATGACAATTTTAATATACCCTCCGTTCAAAGGTGGAGGGTATAAAAAATGCATTTATTTTAAAGGAAAGATGTAACAATGTGAACTTTAATCTTACTTTCTCTAAAGTAAGGGATGACAAAACTGGACTATGCAGAAAAGATGTAAGAATGGGCCTATGTGCCACTGTTACCCTTGAGGCTACTTATAAAGTTAATCCTTCTGTGATTTCCATTGCAAGTTGGCAACTCTAAATGACCGCCTTATCAACACTTTTTGACATGCATTATATGTTGCAGACATTTTTCGTTTGCCCGGCATTTGGAGTTTTTTTTGTTCTGCACCTTTTCTGGCTTTCTCTCATCTTTGCAGTCTTGTTAAACTTATTTGCCCACAATAACAACAACTTTTGGCTAATTTGTCAACGGCAAAATGTTTGCATACGGATAGAAACTTGTAGTCTCCCAAGGAATAAACAACTAAATACCGAATCGTAATTCTCCCGATGGGACTAATGAGAGAGAGGAGACACACAACTGAGAGAGAAAGAGAGAGAGAGAGTGAGGGTTTAATAGAGATGATATGTATATTCCGCATTGGGGACTACTTAAATCAAGCTTCTCTACAAAAATGGTCTTGTTATGAACGTGTGCGGCACTGGCCCACCTACGCCGATTAGAAAGAAAGCCCAAAAACAATAATAATAGCGAATACATTTCAGTGTGTTTGTTGTGTGGCAACGAGTGCAAAATACATTCACTCACTGCTGTCACTCGTTTCGTGAAGACATTCAAATGCCTTTCAAAAACCACCAACAATTTTTGGACTAGCAGCGATAATAACAACAAAACCCGACGCAATACAACTCACACATACACCTGGCAAAGGACGATGTGGCTGGCTATGCCGAAACTTGTATCTAGAATGAGAGAACAAGAAGAAAAAAAACAAAATTCAAAAAATAAACAAAACAAAAAACAATAGTGCGAATGATTGCAAAGTTTAGGCGAGACAGGTTGGCGGGGTAGGATTGCTGTGTGTAGAGCTGAAGCGCTTGCGTTAGTTGTTGTAAAGAGAAAGTAGTAAAACTGCTTACACTGCCATTAAAAAACCCCAACACACACACGCACACTCAACAAACCACTATAAAATTGAGATTGAGAGCAAACGTTTGTGAATACCAGTTCTTCTGTGAGCCGACAGAAAAGGCAGACAAAAGCAAACCAAAGAGAATAATCTACAAATATGTACTTTGTAACTTTACTGGAAAAATTATAATAATAAATACAATAACACACACACATGCACACATAGCCATTTGTGAAACTTTTGCGGCACCGAACGTTGCCATATTGTTATAAACCGGCTTAATGCCACAATATACCAAGGTAAACTACAGGGTGAGATAACAAACGGGCAATAAAGTCAAACGCCATAATTTTTAATATTTTTTTTAAATTTTATCGAATGAGAGCAAAAAACGTTGGAAATAGCATCAAATTTTAGAATGAGTTTCGATTTGTTCGAATTGGTCATCTTTGGTACGAATTGCAGCCAATGAAACCGTCACACGCTGTCCGAATGTTGCTCTGCTGTATTTTGCTGATCGACACTTTGGTATTTTTTAGTGGCAACCTTGCTTTCCAAAATATACCAGACACAATAGTCCAACGGATTGGTATTCGGAGATTTTGGTGGCCATTGTGTGCTGGATATGAAGCGAGGAATTTCATTTTGTAACCATTCTTGGGTGGCGCGTCCAAGGTCTGTGGCCAAAATGTTTGCGTGCCCAAGGCTTTAATAAACTCTCCTGAATATTTTCGCGATAATTTTCGGTATTTATTCTGATGCCACGATCGATTAATACGAGCGGAGAGCGACCATCGGCTGTTACGGTGGCCCACGCCATCACCGGCCGGCGCTTGAGTTCTGGTGGCCAACCGAAGATGCACCAGAAGAGCTGACCTCTTTGGTAATTAAACACGGTCATTTTGTTTGTTTACAAACTGCTGGACAACGAATGTTTTCTTATCGGAGAAAACCAAATTCGGCAGCTCACCTTTTTCAACTCTTTAGATCTTTGGAGTCTAATTTATTTCTGTTGCAGTGTAAGTTCTTGCGCCTTTTGGAATTTCAATGGCTTTACCCCGAGCTCATTTTTCAATATTTGCCGAATGGAATATTGCGATATTTTCACGAGCTCACGAGCCATTTTTCGGCCACTGAACTATCAAGTCACTATTCGAACCATTTCTGCTGTTTTCTTTCGTCCACTTCCGTGACGTCGGGCTACGTTCCCAGTATCACGGTACGAGACACAAAAGATTTGTTCATATTTAAATGCTGGAGTGCTCTAACGATAGCCGATAAAGAAATCAAACTATCACGTTTAAATTCCATCAGAAATAACTTCTGGAAAATTCTCACCAAAATGATTTTGTACGCTTTAAAACAATATAATGAGCAGTCACTGGAATAATTTTAACAGATGTCGGACGAGTGTCTTAGAAACGACAGCAGTCTGAAGTTGGTTGCAGGTTTTTCATCTCACCCTGTATATTTATATTTCGGTATTTCATTTTGATGCTTATGTGACTGCTTTAGCATTTTTTTTTTTTTTTTTTTTTGAAAATTTCGACCTTTTGTGGGGAGGTACCAGAAGGAGTGGACCGATGTATTAAATCTCGGCACCAGACCTTGGTTTAATAAAATTATTGGGATACGGGAAATTTAAATACAATCGGACTCTTACATCACATTTTATGAGAGTTGTAATTATTCAAAATATTGGTCCTTTGTGGGGGAGGTACCTGATGGAATGGAACGATATTGTCCATTTTCGCATCGGATTATCCTTTCTCTTTCTGTGCAATAAATTATTTTCCTTGAAAATTTTGACATTTTGTGTGGGAGGTACCAGAAGGATTGGACGGATACTGCCCATCTCCTAACTCGATCTAAGTTTGAGAATAACATTACGATGTACCAGCTTTGGATCAAAACGAATACTGCCTTCGAGAAGTTATCCTGCACAACCGGCCAGACAGACAGACGGACGGATGGACGGACATCGCTAGATCGACTCCAAATGTCCTGAAACGGATTTGGTCCAAAGAGACCTATAGTCTAAAACCGTTATTTCGATGAGGCACATTTTGGTCGTATCTAATGATATATACCCCCTGTAGCCATATGGCAGAGGGTATGACAAAGTACTGGAACGAAGTTACTATTTTATAAATCCACCTCGGATATACTCCAAAAATTGCGCCATCTCAGACACGTTGCATTTATTTGTGTGGTCGCTAAAAAAAACGAAATCTGGCAACTTGAATTTTTATTTTCTCTCAAACAATGTTGGTGGGGTCGCGTCTGCCGCCGTGTGTTATTGTTTGGGATAGTGTTGTTGTAGTTAATATATGGCTGTTGTTGTTGTCTTTTTGTTTTCTTCTATTTAGTTTTGCAATTACTCGTTTTCTCAGCTACTACACACCTACCTACAAACCGATTTCGTATGCCGACAACGATGGCGACGAGGAGGTTTTAGCTTGTGTTCTTGTTTTTCGTTGTGCTTGTGCTCTGTGAGCAGCAGAAGCTATACACCGCTCACTCGCTCACGCTTGGCTGACTATTTTGGTTGGGCGCTAGCAGCTGCCTGTCGATGCTGGTGCTTTGCAATGGATTTTTCGCAACTCAGAGTGATTCATAACATCGGCGTATACGGACACCAGTTACGGAAAGCTAAACTAGCCTCGTCGACGTTGTGCGGTGTTATTTTCCATTACATCTTTGTTATTATTGCTATAGTTGCGGACTGTTGTTGCTGTTGGTTGTTCGTTGGTCGGTCGCCATCACTTGAACTACGCAACACACCACAACAACAGCAAGAAGAGAGGAATAGCAACAACGAAAGAGCTAACGAACAGACAGACAGACGGACGACAGTCACACCAGGGCAAAAATCGTCTATTCTGAGGTGTTTGTTTTGTCTGTCGGCCGTGTACCGCCGCGTCCATTGCAAAGTGTTACTCGAGGTGACACGCTCGCACACAGCACAACAAAGTGTCGCTTTGTTGTTATTGTTGTTACTTGATATTCTTGGTGTTAACGGTCTGACATATTGTCGGGCGGTCGTTCGTTCGGTTCTTGGCTGTCTGTCCCCAAAAAGCTCGTCGTCATCAACGCCGTTCGTCGGTCGTCTATTGAATCCTCGGTATACGTTTTTGTGAGCGGAGCGGCGAGAGGAGGCGTGTGTAGATGTGTGTGTGTCTGAACCACAGAAATGTGTAAGTGATTGCTCCGGTTAACACAAATGCTCTTAAACCATTTTTGTCGCCTTGTAAGCAAGCATTACGGGCGATGGGTCGGTCGGCCGATTGCTTGGCGTTATATTTGTCGGTGTTTTGTCGTTGGGAGTCACGAATTCGATAGGTTGATTACGACCAACAATCATACACTAGCCGACATCTCCCAAAAGCCCATACAATTCAGCTAGAGATCCATTCATCCATTGCTGGCTGCTATGCCACCCATCTACCCACGACATAGTGCATGCTACACTCAAAGCGACACATGTATGCAAATGTGTGTGTGTGTTTGTTAGCAACTGTATAATACGTTGTATTGGTGTTTAGCATTTTATTATTTGATTACAAACCACAAGGTTGCCTGCCCCGCGCCATCATGGTTCGATTCGCCGCGAAAGAAGCTCACCGCTGCCACTGCCCAGCCATCTATCCACCCATCACCAACGCAATCCGCAATTCAATAAACAGCGACCTACGTCAGCATTGTAAACGGAGAAAAATTGTTTATGGAGGCAATCATAAAAAAAATAACGTTGGAAATTACATAAAACGAACATTGTAAAAGCTAAGAAAGTAGTTTAAAATTCTAGAAATAGGAGAGATTTAAGTATACATTTTACCATATGTCTGGAAAATGTATTGGAAAATGACAATTTTCCAAATATGCCATAATGAGATGAGGAGTAAATGTAAAGGGAATATTCAATATGTGATATGAAAAATTCTATGGAGGGTATATTCGTTTTGTCATTCCGTTTGTAACTCCTCGAAATATTTATGACCGACCCTACAAAGTATATATATTCTGGATCAGCGTAAAATTCGAAGACGACTTAGCGATTTAAAGTTTGTAATGGGTACTACAGCCTATGTGAAAAAATTTTGTATGCAGGTTCACGTTTTCGTATAGCCCCCATATATCGGTACCTTCCGATATTCGATATTTTAATGAATTTAACGACATTATTCACTGAAGTTCGTAATGGGTACTACAGCCTATGACGTCTTCGTATAGTCCCCTATAACTGTTTTCATTTATGTGGTATTTTTTCATTTTTTTATATATAAAGAAATCACACTATCACGCTTGAATTCCATCACGAATAACTTTTTTCTGAAAATTTCTCTCCAAAGTACTTTTGTACGCTTGTAAACAATATAATGAGCTGTCACTGGAATAATTTTAATAGCTGTCGTATGAGTGGCTTAGAAATGACAGCAGTCTGAAGTCTTTTCCAGTTATTTTATCTCACCCTGTAATGTTGTCAATATAGGTACCATTTTTGATATGGCCCACATATTACGTACTCACTCATTTTATTATATATTTGTAGTTTAACGTGGAACACGAGTGTATTCAGATACTTTTATCGTTTTTTTTAGTGTTTTTCTTGTTTTGCAGAATTTACCTATATATAGGTATATAACATATATTCCATTTTTACCGATGTATTATATTTTCAAACATTCCCGACCCTCCAAACCATAAGGCTCCATCCAAATTCATGATTTGTATGAGATTTTTATTTTTTCGAAACATGGAGTTTTGTGGCACCAGAAGTAATGGATCGATATGACCGATCAGCACTCTGCATCAAATGCGAATAATTTTTTGAATGTACAATGTTCAAAGAATGTCGGTGATTCATTTTCCTTTTTTATAATAGTTGTTTTTCAAAATGTCGACACTCTGTGAGGAACGTACCAAAAAAGTGGGTCGATATTGTCTATATTTAAAGCTAACTTAGACCTTTTGAAATATTACGATATGCTAATTTTAGACGAAGTCGTATACTCCCCTCGCCAACGTTTTATAAGTTTGTTAATTTTTACCATTTGTAGGGGTGTCAGAAAGTAGGAGCGGATATTATCCATCTTCGAACTTGATTTAAGTTTGACATCTTCACGTCGTATAGCAAACGTAAAGACGGTCGAAAGAAAGTTATGAAGGTCGAGAAACCCAATTTATGACGACTTCAATTGACTGCCTAAACTAAACTAAGCATTAGAATCCTAACAAAATGTGTTCGTTACATGTTCATTTTATTGTACAATCGTTTTATAACAGAATTGAAATTTACTCACCAAAAACCGAATATTAGGTAATGTAACCAAATAATACGTAATGAAAAAAAACAACAAGTAGGTTGAATATAATGGGACATGCATATGTCTCTAGCGATGTCCATCTGTCCGCCCCTCCAAATTTTAGTAGATCGTAATATTCCTATAGAATTTATATCGTTATCGTAAATAGGCGAGTTTCCACAATGTAATTTGTGTACTAGAATAAGAATTTGTCGGAATACCGGTTGAAACTTTCTTATTTAATTTGTATTCGTTTGCCTACACAGAGAACTCACTGTTGTCGGACATGTACAATGCGTCGACCATAGATGCTCTGTCGGAAATTCGAATGTATATGACATACCGACGTATCATGCGTACGTCAAAAACAAATAATAAGAGTTCTTGACAGAAACGTGGTGGACGGAAGATGGGACATTTCATTATTGCATTGATTCAATAGATGGCGTTGGTAGTGGAAAATATGTTACGACACCATATCGTAGCATTATAGCATTTTGTTATAATGTTACATAGCGGACACTTTAGTAGGATTTTCGCTGATTTTTATATACGTATTTGAGTCCATATCTATCATATCTGTTGCCTTTTTCACATTTTAACGCCATTTTTATCGCGATATCGGAATAACATATTTCTGTAAATTTTCTAATGCATTTTTACAATGTCGTCGGCCATCCATTGCCTGATTGAGACATTAAAATGCAATATGCATTTTGCTAAATATTTTCAACCAACCAACCTCAGGTTTTAAGCTCTCTGAAGTAACTTTGCCACATTTGGAAGACTTAGACAAGGAAACTATTCACGTTAAGATCAGCGAGATTTCAATAATACGACCTAGACATTTATCAACCAACTGGGCATGTATTATGTGGGATTTTACAGTATTTTAGAAGTCTATGACGTTCTATACTTTTTCTATATGACGTTTAAAATTTTTCGACAGTCGAAAACCTAATAAAAATAGTCAAACAGTCCATATCTCATGTTACTCATTGCTTGGTAATGAGGAAAGTATGTTCTTTTGTTTATAATATTTTAAGGCATAACCTATAATTTCCAACCTACTAGTAATGCAGAAGGTAGCTTGTTTCAATTGCCTTTGAATGGACTATACGGCTCATACTGCTACCAAGTTTTTGCTGGATATAGTATATACGACTTACTCCAGCGGAACTCTGTGCCATTTTTGTCTTGCCTTCTTACTGTATTTTTTTCGTCTTAAAATACGCAACTATTTTCCAAAAAAAAGATAATAATAAAAAGAAAATACTAATACACACGAATTACAGTTGTTATGAATCCGGATACCAAGACCGGTAGTGATAAGTGGCAAAACAACTACAACAACAACAACGAACGACAACAATATGTTAAAATTTTGTATGGAAAAGTTTTTGGGATTTACTTGTTTGTTGTTGTTGTTTATTTTGAATATTCTACACCAGATGCTCTGTGCACGCCTTTTATTGTTGTTGTTGTTTCTGTCTACTTTTTGTTTTTATTTTTAATCCGATACTTTTCTTCGGTATTTTACTTTTATATTTAAATCCCCGAAAAACGAAACGAAAAGAAAACAAAACGCAATTATCACCTTCGTTATCTTCATTACAATTATCTTCTCCATGCAAGAGAACAACTGTGTGGCAGGTTTGATGATTCTTTGTTTTTGATGGAACCCCAAAAAAAAAAAAGAAAACAAGAAAGAAAATTCCGTCCGCACACACTTGAACAGCGTTTGGCTTGCAAATCGTATTTTTATGCTCGCCGATACTTCTGCACGCACTCGCGTGTAAAAGTCTAGCTATTGTCGAGGGATTTCTGCTCTCTTTTATTTGTCTCTGACTGGGGTACAAGTAATGACGCCGCTATGTCATTTGGGTCTGCTCTCACAACATTCTCATTAACCGAAAGTTGTAGTGCGAGAGCAGCATCGCCATTGGCAGCAGCATATATTTTAGTCTGGTCTGGGTTTTGGTAAGTTTTTTTTGTTTGGGCCTGTTTGCAGCTGTTGGCGGCAGACCAGCCAGGCCATTTTGTTTGGCCGGCTGAATTGACTGAATGACTGTTACTGCCAACCAGTCGGCCAGCCAGCCTGCCTTATATGTACATATAAATATTTGCTGGCAAAAAATCTAAAGGCAACCAAAACGTCCATGCCTTTATATAAATGTTGTATATATATTGGAATTGAATTGGTATTGTTTGTATGTAGGTATGCAAGTGTGTACCTTAGTATGAATGGATGGATGGATGTAAGTGCCTTCGATTTTGTTCAAAACAAACCGGCTTTTTGTGAAATTTCAATTTTTTTCTGTTTTGTATTTGTTGTTGTTGTCGGTCTGACTGATTTGCCTCTTTCCAAACAAATGGAGGAAGACAAACAAAATATATATTGGCTTCGTGTTGTGTGCGTTTTATTTTAAATTTCATTTTGGACCCAAAGCCAAAGACCAAGGAATACATTGTTGCGTTGGTTAAAAATAATTCCAGCCTTTCTATAAATTGTTGAATTTGAGACATTTTTGTATCATCAGCCATATGGCTAGACAGGGTATATATCATTTGATGCGGTCAAAACGTGTCTAGTCGAAATAACGGTTTTAGACGCTAGGTCTCTTTGGAACAAATCCGTTTCAGGACATTTGGAGTCGATCTAGCGATGTCTGCCTGTCCGTCCGTCTGTCTGTCTGGCTGATGTGCATGATATCTCTTGAAGCGAGTATCCGATTTGATCCAAAATTGGTACATCGTAATATTATTATCAAACTTAGATCGAGTTCGGATTTGGGCAATATCGGTCCAATCCTTCTGGTACCTCCCCCACAAAAGTTCGAAAACTTTCAAAAAAAAAAAAAAAATAAATAAATAAATATAGTTTCTGCACAGAAAGACAAGCAATAATCCGATTTTGCTCTAACTTTGCAAATTCTAATATTTGCGTCAGTCAGGTCATAAATGGATAATATCCGTCAACTCCATCAAGTACCTATTTTGAATAATTATAAAATGTGATGTAAAAGTCCGATTGTCTTCAAATTTTACACATATTTTTTAACAACCCAAGGTGTGGCGTTAAGATATGATATAACGGTCCACTCCTTCTGGTACCTCCCCCACAACAGGTCGAAGTTTTGAATATCCATTAAGCTCATGAAATGCAAAATTAACATCCGATTCCATTCAGACCTGGCACATCTCAATATTTCCATCAACACAAGATCTGTTTTAAAGATGGTAGAAATCGGACTATTTTCTCCCCCACATGGAGTTCAAATTTTGCCAATATTAGTATTTTTACCTGTATTAAATGAATTATTAAAATGGAATACTTCGGTCGACTATATCTCGTTAATATTTCTAAATATTATTGCATACAGGGTGAGATAAAAAAAAAAAAAACTGCAACAAAGTCAAATGCCATTATTTCTTTATATTTTTTTAATTTTATTGAATGAAAGCAAAAAATATCGGACATAGCATCAAATTTTAGATTACGTTAAGATTTGCTTGAATTGGTCACCTTTGGCACGAATTATAGCCTTCAAACGGCTAATGAAACCGTCACACGCTGCCCGAATGTTGCTCTGCGGTATTATGACCCATTCCCGGAGAAGCGCTTGCTTGAGGTGATCGACACTTTTGTATTTTTTAGTGCCAACCTTTCTTTCCAAAATACACCAGACACAATAGTCCAATGGATTGGTATCTGGAGATTTTGGTGGTCATTGTGCGCAGGAAATGAAGCGAGGAACATAATTTTGTAACTATTCTTGGGTGGCGCGTGCTGAGTGCGTAGGTTCTGATTTATCGATTAATACGAGCGGAGAGCGACCATCGGCTGTTAATGCGGCTCACACCATCACCGTGGCCGGCGCTTGAGTTCTGGTGGCCAACTTAAGGTGCACATTTTCAGCTGACCTCTTCGGCAAGTAAACACGATCATTTTGTTTGTTTTCAAACTGCTGGACAACGAATGTTTTCTCATCGGAGAAAACCAAATTCGGCAGTTCACCACTTTTGACCAAGCGAAGCAACTCTTTAGCTCTTTTGATTCTATTTTCTTTCCGTTGCGGTGTAAGTTCTTGCACTTTTTGGAATTTCAATGGCTTTACCCCGAGCTCATTTTTCAATATTTGCCGAATGGAATATTGCGATATTTACAGCTCACAAGCCATTTTTTGGCCACTGCGACGCGGGTTTCAATCAAATCGCTTCTTTACTTTTCGAACCATTTCTGCTGATGTTGCTGTTTTCTTCCGTCCACATCCTTGACGTAGGGCTACGCTACCAGTATCACGGTAACGAGCGATGGTGCTTGACACAAAAGATTTATTCACATTTAAATGCTGGAGTGCTCTAACGATAGCCACTTGTGGTTTTCCAGCCAAATATAAAGAAATCAAACTATCACGCTTGAATTCCATCACGAATAAAATTCTCACAAAAATGCGTTTGTGCGCTTGTAAACAATGTAATGAGTTATCACTGGAATAATTTAGCAGCTTTCGGACAAGTATCTTAGAAATGACAGTAGTCTGAAGTTGGTTGCAGTTTTTTCATCTCACCCTGTATACCATAAAATTTGAAGAAAGTAACCAGTATAGTCCAAACCTGCAACATTTATATCATATTTATTTAGGTCCGACAATATTGGCCCATTCCTTCGGAACCTACTCCATAGAGGGTCAAAAATTATATAATCATAACAGAAGCCAAAATATATTTAAATAAGCGAATATTGGCTGACGGTATACATCTGTCGGCAAAACCGACTGATAATTTTTAACTGGTTTTTTGTCTGTTTGCTGGCACGGAGATTCGATCCGTGTCAGCATAGTCGAAAGTGCTTACTGTGTGTCGTCTTCGCCCAATACTTCGTATGATGCAATGGTAATTTTTTACGAATAACCCATTACTTTTGGTCTACTGGCAATACAGAGGGTATGTTGTTGCCATTGCTAAATAAAAATAAATTATTCTTTATAAATTAATTTATATTCCTTTGATGGACGATGGTCTCATTGGTCATCAAAGGATTATCTTGCCTTTTTACTCTAATAAAAAATTTTTAATTAATATTTACAAAATCCTCTACCGAAATATTAATCCACTTTAATTTTTCCTATTTGATTTGTTTCTTTGCAGTGAATTTTTCCGTGTGTTACTTTCATTTGGTTTCGCAAATTCTAACATAGAAAAAGAAGAAGAAATTAGTGTAAGAAAATACCAACAACAAAATTGTAAATTTTAAGTTTTAAATATATAAAAGAAAAATATATATGTAATAACAACAACAGCAACAAATTAGAATTATGTAAATAGTTAAATACAACAAAATACATACAGAAAATAATTTAGCGTGTAGAATAGTTATTCAACCAACCCCAAAAGAAAATAAAATCAAGAAACGAATACCGCAAACCAACCCCCACCCATTTCCCGTGAAAGTCCTCGCATTTTTTCAAAAGCGAAGAAGCCTGAGGAGGAAAATGCAACAGAGTATCAAATAATCAATCACCAAGAAAATTCGTGTTTATATTTTCGAGAAGGGGTACAACCAGAATACGACCCCTTCCCCCCACCACGCCCGAAAGCAATAACAAACAAAAAAAAAAATAAATTACAAGTGCTTGCATGTACATATACATATAAATCGGAATCTTGTGGGTGTTTTTGTATGATTCTCTAGAATCAAAACAGTTTCTAATAAATATTTATACATTGGTCGGTCTATTGGTCAAATAGAATTCTGAATTGTAAAATAAAATAGAAAAAAAAAAAAAAAAACAAAAATAAAATTTAAATAAAAACCAAAATACACCAACAACATTAATCGCAATGTGTGAGCGATTGCATGAATGAAAATCGTCGGAGACAATTTTGATTTTCTTGCGAATGCAGCAGCATAGAGGCACTGGCGTTGGCGGCGCTAAATTGGCAACAGCATCGCTGGTGAATAAATTGAAATTGAATACAACGCCGACATCCAAGTGTTATAACACAACGGCGTCATCGGAAACCAAAAACAAAGCCAAGCGAACAGCAATTTGCGTTGTATCCAAGAAAAGCCCAACTACTGCCAGCAGTAACAGTAGTGGTGGTGGTAGAGGCAGTGGTAGCCTCCACTAAAAAAGCCTAACAAAACATAATAAGTGTAACTTAAATCTGTCCCATTAATTAAAAACCCTCGCTTGTACCTCGAAGAAAGAAAAACAGCACTCACACACACACCCAAAAGGAATACAAAAGAAAACGCTAACCGAAAAAGAAAGAAAAGCAAATTTTGTGCTCCAAGTGTAAGCAAAGACAAATGAAAACGTCTTCGGTTACGAACGCATCTAATTTCGACTACTCAAGTCGCCCTGTTTCGGAGGGTGAACAAGACCACGAACAACTTTTACAACATCAGGCGTTGGCCCAACAGTCAGAGCTGGAACAGCAGCAGTTTGACGAAGAGCGCGATCAGCAATATTACGACGGTGCCACTGCCAATACTACCACTACCACCACAACGAATACAGTGGGCGCCGCCACAACAGCAGGACAGGACGAGGAATATCAAGCTAACGAATCCAGATCGTTAATTGTTTATCCCAACAAAAAACAGATTGCTGCCAAATCCTTGGTCGATGACGTAGACAACAATTACCCAGAACAACAACAACAATCTCGTCGCCATCAAAGGACAGTGATTGCCGCTGCCGACAGTGAAAGTTATATCAACGACGATCAACCGCCAGCACATCAGGTCATTTACATTGACGATCCCTGTGTTAGCGCTGTCAGTGAGGTCCCACTAAACGATCCACCTGCCAACTATACATCTGCACCAGATTCGAATATTCGTTATTCGTCAAAGGCATCGAAGAACAAATATCTGCAACAGCAAGAATTTGCCCAACAACAGCTGGCATTGCAGAAAAGCTCATCGTCAAAGCGCAAGCGTGAAATAACAACAGGTATGTAATCAAGTTTCAAATCTGATTTGATTTTTAGTTTATTTTTTCAATATTAGTATCCAACTGAAGTTCTCAATTTTACAAGAAAATCGGAACTTTCTAGCGTTAGAATCGAAATGCGGTAGAGAAGATTAATTCCGATTTGCAAAAATATGTAGATTAAAATGTTTGAGTTCCATTAAAAAATCTCATTCCCAAATAGTGGGTTTATTGAGTATTTGTTGACACCTGTAACTACTTACAAAGAACATGAACCTGTTATAGGAAGTAAAAACTTGCGAAGCTGTCAAAAAAGCCAATACGATCTAAAAAAGAAATAAGCATTAAAAAAATTAAAAAAAATATTTAATTTTTTTTTTAAATCTCCATTAAAATTGTGACTAAAATTATCAAAATAGGGAATAGTGGGAGTTTTTCGAAACGTAGAGCTATATAGGTTATGGATTTTAAATTTTCATAACGAATTCGAGGATTGTGGCTTAAATCGTCAAAATACTGAATATCGGTAGGTTACTATCATATGTGGGCTATAAGAAAACATGGACCTATATATTTTTTTCTGGCTATGGTGCCATTAAATTTGAAGCGTGATTAGACCTGTTCTAACATACGCGACTGTAGTCTGGTGGGCAGCAATTTATAAAAAGTGCAAAATAAATTATAAGCACCCAATAGAAATACAGTTTAAGTATGAGACAGCTTCCATAAAGGTCATACAACAGGTCAGTAAGGGAACCTCAATAGAGGAGATCATTTATGACAGAATACCAGAAAAGGAATTAGTTACACTGCGTGGAATGCTAGTCCAGGACAGAGACTCGTAGAGCAACCGGAAGCTGCTGTTTCACAAAAGACTCAAAATTCGGGTAGAGAACGTGGCTAATCTCTCTCTGCCACTTCCCAGCGGATTTTTTTTGCCCATTATTAAAGATAGTTCTTGTGTAATTAATTGAATTTGCGCTCTCTCTATTTCTGACATATCTGCACAAGATTCCGAACTATTTTGAAATGTGCAGTTTAGTAAAAACACTTGTTGTGTGGTGTGATTGATCGTTGTTGAAGTGTTAGCCAAATTTCGAACCGAAAACGGAACGAACTCGCAAGGATATTCAAGTTCGAAGATCGTGCGGACATAGAAGAATGTACGTCTAAAAAATTGATTGGCAATTAAAAATAATTCCAGGTAAAATAGTATATAGATTTTTTGCCTCCCTGAACTTTCAACTACCTTTAAAAGCAAATTGCCGACTGCACGAAGACAATTACACATTTTTTCCTCAACAGTGTCGAAGGACTATCAAAAATCTGTAAGAGATAAATTCATTCCAATTGTCTTCTTTTTTTGTTTGTTTACAACAAATATTACCACCCAAGCAGAAGAAAAAAACTATACAACAAAAAAGTCCCTCATATAAATTGGCCAAAACTTCAGATTTAGAGCAGACGTATCAGAAGTCTGACAATTGGTTCGCTGAAAATATATACACGGTCATTGTGAAAGTAACTCACACATGTAAATGCTGGCATAATGGCCCTTGGTACCTTTGGACCAAAAAGCCGTTTCAGGCCATTTGCCATTTGTGACACGATAACTATGTAGAGTATGAAAGATATGTAGGTCCAACCTTTTGGTATGTCCCCCCAAAAAATATACCTAAACTAGTTATAAAATGCATGGGGGTATATATATCGACGGATACACTCAAAACGGTTCCACTAGACATTCACTTCCTTCCAAAAAAAAAAAAAAAAAAACTATCAATAGAGACCATGTTTTGACATAGTAAGCAAAAAACTATCGTTCCAACATTTTGATATATTTATAAGTAACTTACGGCCTTTACTAGGCTGTAGATTAATTTTCCTAATGATTATTTTACTCATAATAAAATTATGATTATGATGGGTGTTTTTTACTTCAAAGAGGATATGAAAGTTCCCTGTACGGTGGAGTTCTAGAATATTTTTATCTAAATTTTCATTTTTTTTTTTTTTTAAAAGGACATTGATGAATTTAAAAGGTACAAAATACGTACTTATTACAAAATGCGCACTTAGTACAAAATGTGTATTTAGAATTAAATTTGAAAAAAGCAATATCTCCGATATGACAACCATCCACATAACTCAAAATAATTTTTGTTTATTTGTTTTTATAACCACAACGAACACGTTTGATGGACATGTATGTGGATAGAGAGTAGCCAGCTAGAGTAGCGTGTGTTTATAATTTACGACACTGAATTCTTTTTTTATCAATAACTGGCAAACGCCTTTCTAAACAGTTTATCATGTGCGGTCATAATAATTTTAGGTATATTTTTTGGGTGTACGAGGTCCGTATTAAAATTCAATAATTTACAGAGTGGTGCAATATAGTAGAAGTATAAAATTTATTAGAAATATTACACGCAAAAAAAAAAAAAAAAAACAAGAACAAATTCTTACAGCATAATTGAAACCATAAGCATTAAACAGAATTGTTTTCCAAAGTTATAGCTCAGTATTTACCGATATATTTTTGGAATCTTTAGAAGTTTGATGTATAATTTCATCGCACCATTTACTATATTAGAAACTTGAAATATCGATTTACAGTAAATTCGGTCGGAAATTACGACTAACCTATCAGGACTCGCGTATTGATGGAAATCTCGTCTCGCATTCAAAACAGTTAAATAAAACACTGCATTGATTAATCTTAAAAAAATAAGCGGATCCATAAAAACTCCTATAATTAAGGGAAATCGTATTTGTTGTTAATTGAGTGTATGCGTTCCCAGTAAGTAGGAAACATCCTTGCAGAGAACTGTTAGGTATATACCCCATATGTATCTTCAGATATTTAGTATATTGATGACGTGTCACAGTTTTCTCCACAATTGTTTAAAATTAGCAATTTAGGGTTTCTGATGGGTAGTAACTCTTATGACAGAATATTTCCTTTTTATAGGTTTACACCTTTGTATAGCCCCCCATAAAACGGTACCTCAAAATATTCAGTATTTTAATGAAATTAGTCACATTTTGCAACAGAATTATCTTAAACTTGGTGTTTGGAGTTCGTAATAGGCACCTCCTTCTCTGAGTTAATTGGCTGGAAGGGTCTAGGTTTCCGTATAGCTCCATATATAAGCGGCCGTTTCATTTGCCAGATGGGGGTTTGACCTGGCGATGTTCTGATTGGTAGTTGGGAACACCATGCACTCAGCCACTGTTACTAACATTAAATACTGTTTAATGATTTGTATGTGCGTCGACCAAGTCTTTGTATTTTCATATTTTTTAGTTTTTGGAGGTTCAAACCAGCGTCCTTAGCTTTGGAGTCGGACGGGATCTTCTTATGTTTAAGCTTAGTAGTCATTATTTTCGGTAACAGGAAATGCTGAAAGTGGCACATCTACATCATCGTCATTTTAAGAGAGTATGTCCTTTTGCTTTGTAACTTTTGAGAAAAATATTCACCCACTGGGTTGTAAAAGGTAGTTTGTTTACATCGCCTTTTAATTGGTTATGGTTACTCAACCAACTTAGGTGCATGCCATCCGAAATAATCATTAGTTCTATTTGTAGAATGAATGTTCCATTTGACCCCAATCCTCTCTGTCCGCGAGTTTCACACTTTACTCGAATTCGAGTACAAAAAACAAAACGAGCATACTATTTTTCGGTTTAGCTCGAATAAGAGAGAGCGAGCATACTTCGCTCGTTTTCAAGTAGTAACAAATCACATTCGAAAACGAGCAAATTTTACTCTTGCAGAGCACTCTTTTATTTTCTGTCATACCGTTGTGGTATTACTCCATTTGTGTATTTTCTCAAACCACAAAAGAAAATGAAACAAGTTCTACTCTTTTTCTCTCCTTTGATCACTTTTTCTCACTTGTTGTCACTCTTGTTAACAATCTCTTACTCTATTTTCATCGATTCGGCTCTCACTCAAATTTTTCAAACAGGAGTGACTTGTGTGCGCTCCCACACAAACCAAAAGAGTGAAGAGTAAACTCTGTATAAAACTCCCATTCTTCGAGCAACCCAGCTCGGGAGCAAGATTCAATTCCCAGTAAAAACTAACAAATCTGAGATAAACACACTATTCCACTATTGCGAAGGTAGCGGGTAGTTCAAAGTTTCCATCTATATCAACAACACATCGAATTTGATGTATTTCTCCCACGTTTTTCGACGTCGAGTCCCGAACTCACAACCTTCGATTTTGTAATCAGACGCGTACACTCTATATCGATGTTACTTATTACTTGGTAATGGGAAACGTAAGTTATTATGTATTTTTTAAGAACGTACTATAGGGTTGTTTTATTAACATTACCTTTAATTGAGTTATTCGGCTCATCAAGCTTCCAAGTTTGTGCTGGGTTAATTTGATCTAGGGTGAATGTGTCTTTGCGTTCTCTAAATTATGGCCTTGAAGGCATTCGTCGTGCAACTTTAAATGGAAGTCCCCCTATCCGATTTCTGCTGGATAAACAATGATGAGATGGAACTTGAAATATTTGCAGTTAACCGACTACTTGAAATTATTAATGGGACCGGCGGAACCATTAATAAATTTGAATAAATTTCAATGGCTCAAAATGTGACGTAAATAGAAGCCTCGTCTCGTCTCTTGTTTCACGGTATTCGTCTTCTTCTTCGTCTTTTCATTGATTGTTGTTGCTGTGCAAATTTTTGTTTATTGTCCATTTGTCGTCGTCTTGGTTGGATTGTTACGCGGTGGTGGTAGTGGTGGTCGTTGTCGTCGCCGTCGCCGTGATAACGAATATCTGAAATAGAATAAAATGATATTGCGTTCTTGTTTTGTTGTCTTTCGTAGCTGCCAAAACCAACCGACCGACCACCCTTGTTGACTTTTTGTCGTTTCTTTTTAATGTTTGTCTCAATGACAGTTTGTCAGGCGGGTTGTGTTTGTTTGTGTTTTTGACTCCAAGATAAAGTGTGGAGGTCGGTTGGGCTGTCTATCAATGAGTGGCTCGCAACGC